CCCTTCACATCCTCTTTGAATTGGGTCCTCTGTTTTCTTTTTCTTTAGATTTCAATTTTTTATTTGTTTATTAATTTTGATTAATTTGGAACCTCAAAATGCCATAAATTACAAGCAATTAGAAAAATGTCAATTTTATGCCATTACATTTATCATGATGACAGTATGCCATGAAACTGACATTGTTACTCAAAAAACTGACACTTTAAATATGTCATCTTTGTTTCGAAAATGTCACCTTGGCAAATGTAATGTCATAAAAGTGACATTATTACAAATAAGTGTTGGATTAAACATCAATTATGGCATTTCTCTAAATTTTTTAAATTTCAAAGTAAAACTGTCATCTTCATAAATGTAATGTCATAAAATTGACAGTTTTCAAATTACTGATAATTTTATGGCATTCTCAATTCCTGCTTTATAAATAAAATTGAAATCCAAAGAACAAGATAACCGAGTACCAGAAAATTGAAGAGGTTGAGAAGAAGAAGAAGAAGAAGAAGAAGAAGAAGAAGATGATGATGAAGATGAAGAGTACATACCTGGAAAAATTGTAGCAGAGGTCTTCGATGGCGGAGCTGCGAGAATCGTTGAAGAAGTGGCGGCCAGCGTCGAGCAAGCAGCTACGATAATAGCAGGTCGAGTTGCAATCGATGGTGTTTGCGCCGAGTCCATGGCAGCTGATTTGCAGGGGATGTCTTCGCAGGTCTCACGATCGATGCAGGGGGATTGGGAAAAAGGTGATTTAGGGATTAGGGGTAAATATGTAATCTGGAGTCACATTTAAGCAATTTAAAACTTCAAGTCGATCATGTTTTAGTCCCATTTAGTACAATTACTTATTTTTATATTATGTTACATCGGAGTTTTTGAAATGAGTAGACGTGATATAGTGACATGGAATTCGAGTGTAGATTGCCTTGAATTACGTGAAACACAATAAGTGTATATACCACTGAATAATATAGTCCTCCGTTTCAATGTTTCATTCGATTTTGTCAAAAAACTTTTATACGGACTATTTGTTTTAAAAAAAATTGTCGTTTTGATTTTTTTTTGAAGATAACATAACATGAATTAAATGAATTAATTTGCAATTCCGCTTAATAATCTCTCCCCTTTATAAAGCTCAATCATATACGGAGTATTCTCTATTTTTTTTTTACTTTTCTTACTTACACCTAGCTAGATTTCAGTTCACACTAGAAATATGGAATCCCGATGTCGCAATGACTATAAATGTTTTTTTGATGAAAATATAAGGTAAAAAAAACCATTTTGTGATTTGATGGCGTGGCATTAATAAATCTAAATTAGCTTTAGAATAAGATCGAGTCTGGTGAAGGCAGTATAGTTAATTGTAATAGAATCATGGATTAAGGCCAATTTATTATATCATAAGATGTTTTAATCAAATTACATTAAAAGATTGAACTTATTCGTTAATAGACAATTTTTCTGTGCATTTTGTATACACCCCTATATTTTGTCACAGGTAATTTAGCCTAAAGATATGCAAAAGTTGTATGTGATCGACACATACAAAATATGAGGCGTGTGCAAAATATGTACAAATGACATGTACACCAAGAATTTCTGAATTGAATATTTTAAACACAATAGGATCATTTTAGCTTATTACATACTATGTGTAATTTTTCTTTATTTCAATAACAAAATATATTATATATATTTATTTGAAATTTAAGAATTTAGTTAATTCATCCATTTCAGATATAATTGTAGTAGACTCGGTCGATTAAGAAAGATTCAGATAGTCTAAGCATGACTAAAAGGGTCTTATATTTTAGATATGTCATAAAATTTTGGGTTTAAACAAAATTACCAAATTTATGGTTTAAGGAATTGTCAAACGAGGCACAAGAAGGCTCTTACGATAGAGTGGAGCTAGGTGTACACAAATGTTGTACACAAAAGTTGTACACTTGTCTGTCCAGCACAAATAAATTGTCTGTCTGGAGATGAGTTGTCTGTCCACTGACAACTCACCTCCGGATAGACAATTTATTTGCGCTGGACAGACAAGTGTACAACTTTTGAGTACAACTTTTGTGTACACCAAGCATTTTTCCTTACGATATGATGTTTCTGGTTAGATTGGTTTCATCCCCAAACCATTCTAGACGTGATCAGCCTAGATGTTTTAAACAGCCATATACTAGACAGGATCATGTCGGACCAAACTTTTAAAATACACATAAAATAAGCATATATCGAACCAGGCCAGATTTAAATAAGCTATACAATTTTTTTTGTCTATAGCATAAAAGTGTACAGTAAAAGGGACTAAATGACAAATTTGAAGGGCAATTTCAATCTCAAAGGTTCATGAGTTGGGACGGCATCAGACAGATGGGAGACGATTATGCATATGACCTTACCCGCTCTGCAAGGTAATTTCTCCATGGCCACCACGTAATCGCCCATTATCCACCACGTAATTTCTTCAATGAAAAACATGTATAACCGCGGGTAACTATTTACTCAAATGGGTCATCAATATTTTAATATAGTTGCTCTTACACCCACTAGGCGAGGAAGAAGGCGTCTGAATTAATATAAAACTTAAATTACACAAAAATGGTAAAAGAGAATTAAGAAGAAATTCGATAATAGCATACCAAAGTCTAAAGTTCTATTATTGGACCCTAAGAGTTAGTCTCTCAATCAAGGTTATACACTAATGGAAATGAGGAAACCTTCATTTTTCCGGCGTGTGACAGAATTTCAAAATATAATTAAAAATATATAGGGCGGGTAGTGGCAGTGTAGGTATATGTGTAAAAATGTAACCTCCCATTTAGCCGTTGGAAGATAGCGATTGTTCCTCACCCTGTACCTATTACTCGCTCGATGAATGCAACTTTCCCTTTAAATCCAAGTTTATAGCAGTTTGATACATAAATCCACCAAATCGGTTGTAATTGTCATCCACACTCATGAACTCCCCTATGTCAAATTCACCTTTCATTCCATGTTTTGTACTTGAGAATTGATAAAAGGAGTAGCATACCGAGCCCTTTTGGTGACACTGTTTTTTGACTTATCAGATTTATCGGTCAATGTAACGTTTTCACCAAACGCGTAACTTGATTTCACAAATCAATAGAACCAGTCAATCCACCTAGAACTTCATAAATTTTAGCAGAATCATGCAGCCAATGCAACCAATTTTGGTATTTACCAAATGGGCTCATCACCATTCATGCAAGTAGTATATCTTTATTACTTTATCCTAACAGACCAATATAAATTTTAGGAATGAGTAGCTAGTGCTCTCAATGTCATGTTCAAAGCTTACTCAACGTTTGATCAACGACTATCAATTTTGCTCATGTAAAAAATTTTAAGTCAGTATTAGTAACTAAAATTATTTGTTTTTAATATATTGATGACAGAAAATCAAATAGAAGATAAAAGTACTCGTAAAATTTTGATACAAAAATTAGGGATAGAAACAATTCAATTTGGGTTTAGTGTTTTTGGGTTAGTGTTGCTTGTCAGTTGCCATTTTGGATTAATGTTTCTTGGGCAGAGCTTTATGAATTCAAATTTCGCCTGCCATTTTTATCATCTGAAAAAACCATGACTTCACAACACTTCCTCATCTTACAAGTTACAACTTCATTTGTTCGTCATTGTGTATTGTTTGGTTCGCCATAGTACTTTAGGAGGAACCCTTTTATCTTGCGAGGCAATATAATTTTGTATGGATAGGCTAATACTCCGTATTTCTTAAGGAGACAACAACCAATGTTTGGCTCCATTTTGTTTGCATGCAGTTTTACGTGATATACGTGGAGTATATAGGAGTACTTTATGTCGCCAATATCTAATACGTAGTACTTCCTACTACGTACGTAGTAATATCTGACGTGAGTTTATACAGAATTGAAACTTAAAATCTATTAATAGCCTTTCAGCCATGAAGGAAAAGATCCATCTTTTATTATCATTCCGGAGAGATGAGAATGTGAGATAGAAACTTTGAGAGCAGATATGTATTGTAGCATCATATGCTTACAATATACGGAGTAAAAAAAACAGATAGATGTTACCTTTTGCCTTTTCTCTCGATCACACTTTTCCCATAACCCTTTATATTAACTCCACGAGTCATCTATATATACCATTATTTCACCGATTTTCATAAAATTAAAGTTTCCCAGACTTTGTTTCACCACATAGTTGCTTCCTTTATAGCCCAATATCTTGTCCAAAACTAGCTAGCTCTGTGAGGGTGACATTTGAGAGGAGAAATGGCAAAAAGTCTCAGATATGGGGAACTTCAAAGTTACCCTATTCATTATTTTATTACGTCCACTTCCATTTAGCTGCCAATATCTATCAGGGCACCCCTAGAACTAAGGATGGACCACGCAGTTAGGGGTAGTACGTATGTACATTAGTACATACCCCACGAGGGCAGTGGTGGTGGCCTGACTGTCCTTTTGGCCGTGAAAGTGTTTGCTGGTGTTGGAATGTTCTCTGTGCCAATTAGGCCTGCGTTCCATGAACAAACACTGCTTTTTACTCATGCATGTGTCGGTATTTAAGGAAATATGTGGGACATTACTGCGTTCTTATCATGATTATTATGATGATGATGATTAGTCCTGTATATCACTAAAGACAATGTGTCCATTTTTTGAACATATTATCTGTGTATAGAGATGTGTACAAAAAGTATAAACTCATCGAGTAAAACACTTGGATTTTCCCCAAACTTTTACTAACCGTACTAGTAAAATATTGTCACTGCTCATTAAGAAAAAGTCTCATTTACATCCACAAACTATATTGAGCAATATAACATTTGTCATTATTTCAAAAACCATCCAAGGTTTCCCAAAATATACCAGATCATAATTTTTCCTTGGGTTTTATTACATTTTCTGCTTGTTTATTTTCTTTATTTAATTAATTCTCTTTTTCTATGACCAGCTTTATAGCATCTTAGAAATAAAAGCAATGTAGTCATGTTTTGAGCATTTTCTTTCCTTCAAAATTCTAGTTATCATCATCAATCTTCAACCAAAACCCAAAAGAATACTGGGCCTGCTGGGTAAAAACTATTCGGAATGAATGAACCAAAAGGTCTACTAAAAATTGGCTTACAACTGTTGCTTTAGAAAGAGATCGAATTAGGATTGAAACAACTCCCAGCCAGCCAGACATGCCCGTGCAGAGGGGGAGAGTGTTTGAAATGGAATCACAGAAAGAAAACGAGGACTATTCAGTTGAAGCTTTGACGACATTGGTAGTGAAATCAATGCAAGACTGGCAGGTGCAGTCAGGAAAGCGGCAGACATGGCATCCAAAACAGACGCAGGTGGTGCACCCTCTGCATGTAGGAGAACGGGAACATCCTCTGTACACTCTCCTGCTTCCTCGCTCTTCCTCGTCCGTGCATGTCACTCTGAACCACACCACAACAACATTTACACATACATGCATGTCATTCTTATGCTATATATCTATCTATATATGTGTGTGCGCATGCGTGTGTGCTAGTGATAGTTCAAAATCGAGCAAAAGTGTTGCATAATAGAAGGATTATGCCGTTCTGTGAGAACAAAATAAAAATTTGCTTCCTAACAGCTTGTCTGGTTCGGGGACTTCAGAGGGGAGGGGAGGATCAATATTTTTCAAAATTATTTCAACATTTAGATGATTCAGAATAAAGTGAAAATAAATAACTACATAGATCTACCTGCTCTAATCAATCATAAAATTATTTCTAGTCTACAACTAACAAATATGATAAATTAGTTTGAATAAAAATCAATCATGGCCTCCCCCCTTCCCTCTCCAATCAACAAACCAAACAAGATCTAAATGTTATCAAGCTTCACCATTCCCGCACCATATGTTTTTCCCTCTCCGTGCACCATAACATAATAGCTCCAAAATTCATCACCCCCATACCAACCAATTAAAGAAGGAAAATAAAATTACAACAAATTAAACTCAAAATAATGTTCCATATTATACCTCTACTGGAAAAAAAGTTTTGTTTCACCCAGGTACAATTTTTTAATTATGCTCAAGTGTGAGTATTGAATATCACCAATTGAAGTTATGTTTTTATATTTATTTGTTGGTTTAACTAAATTTGTATCGACACTAGAAACTTAGCTTCTTTTGTTCAAAAAGGACCCTTCGAAAGGGAAGTCTATTTGCAACGACTCCTTTTTATCAGTATATTTTTTATTAGTATAAAGAGTCCTATTTTCCTATTTACCAGACAATGCACATTAAGCAAATGCACCTAGAAGTTGCAATCTCAATGTGCATTTGCTTAATTACTTATAAAGAATAAAGCATGAGTCATGTGCACAAATAGGATAATATCATTGTTTTGTGTGCTAAGAATATGAGTGAACGAGTCCCCATAAATGTGATTTTTCTGTTCTTTAACCTGAAGTCGGGTTAGATCAGTGCTGAATAAATAATAATGGCAAGGAGAGTTGAGCTGCAGAAACATACTTGTCATGAGGCATATCAGAGCATTTCCAGTTAGCATCTGCCAGAGCATTGTGGAAACTTCTGCATTCCTCCTGTGTTCGAAGACGGATTCTGCGCTCTTTATTACACACGGTACACCGGATGAATTCATCACGATGGCACACTTTTGCATTATTAGACTTATTTGAACCATTTGCATGCTTTGAAGATTGATTATAATACTTGAGCAGCGCAGTTTTTACCACAGGAACCTTCTCACCATTAACTATTACCCAAATATTGTTCTTCCATTTCCTAGCAGTTTCTCTCCCGGAATGCTTCTCAAAAGCAGCTGGTGTCATCTTATCTATTCACACACACACCAACGAAACATGCATAAGGCACCAGTAGTAAGATTTGAGTTATCAATATATTAATTGAGATTAGAGTAGGTCAATCAAAGCTAATCGATATAATAGAAATTTCAGTGATCAATATATTAATATAAATATTTTTTAATTAAACAGTAAATAGATAAAAGCCACTGTAGCAGCAAAAAGGATGAAAAGGTATGAGTAAGTCAATCAAAGTTAATCATATTTTAAGCATATTACCAAAATTAACTTTAATGTGTGTTTCCCCTTTTTCCATTCAAAAGGTCAATGAACAAAGAAATACAAAAATGAAAGGCCTATACTAGTAGACTAGCAATCGTGTTCATGGCTTGAGATTAAATTCAAATAACATTCAAATATCATCCAAATACTTCTTGAGGCGCATATAAAAAACAAGATTTATACCAGCTATTATAGAAACAATTTAAGAAACTTAAAGACTGCTACTTTCATGCATACATGCAATGACAAATAAAAACAGTAAAGAAACCTTGTAACCAATTTGCAGTTTAATAAAAATACACATCTTAGTAGTCACAAGAAATATGGAAAAAAGATTGAATTTTGATGATGTGATGAAACTCAATATCCACAGTGGCAAGTCATATGTTAAGAAAACAGGTGTCCATGGTTGGCCTGACACTCTAAAGTCATCAGGAAATACTTCACTTTGTTGTGGCATACAACCAATCCATCCATGATCACATGATGTAAATATCAACTTTATCATGTTAATATATTGAATGCACAGATAACAGTCATAAAGTCATAAACTATGCAGAAGGAGAGGTCTTACACTACCTCCATCGTTATTTAAAGTAATCATTTTGACTGATACAGTCCTCAATATCATCGCTGACCATTATTATTTGCTCTTATATATTATGAAATATGAAGTCTATAATGGATTATCATTTCTGTAGTTTTGTACTAAAACTAATTGTTCAAGAGTACTTTCATGTTATAGTTTAAAATAATTTTTGCATACATGACGGTCAAGGTTAACAAACTTTCGTCAATAGTCAAAATCTTTAAATAGTGATGGAGAAATTAGTACAAAGCAAAACCTAACAGCCCATTTACATAAAAATTCAAACATATACTTCCAGCAAGCAATGATGGCCCCAAAATAACATCAATATAAAATATAAAGCCAAACACTTTCTTTCTCAATGCATAATAATAATGATTTAATAATGAAACAAAAATTATAGTTTCTATCCAAGAATCCCTCACTCTGAAAGTCACATATAATGATCTTTCCAAGAAAACTCTGCATAAAAGCTGGATGGATGCTTCTGCCAAGAAACACTTGCAAGAAAATATTGAACAGCATAGTGAACTTCAGCTCATGACTTCCGAGTTTAGGCCAACCAAACAAGATCATCCAATTTAAAGTCTAAACTTCAAGAAGAAAAACAATGCAATGAACAACACTTCACGAGCATAGAGTGGGTGGTGTAGATTGACTATATATACACTGGTAACTTGTTGTGTTCTCTCAGACATATTAACATACAGTTGGAATACATTTCATGAGAGGGAGTGGGAAAGCCAAGAAGAACTGCACTAAACCCAGGATCTAAGAAAGGATAAAATCTGAACACAGAAACACATACCATGAGGCATGCACACATATATACATATATTTTCAGCACAAACCCATTATAAAAGATGAAGCAAATACTTGAAATGGGTGATTAAAGATAGAATAATTGAAGACCTTCTTGGCAACCAGGTATGCATTCACAGGCGATTACAAGCTCGCCAGTGGAGAAAACCCTAAGCTTTCCAACGGCATCACCGTACCGGTGGCTGGTGCACCCACACGTCACCTCCACGTAATCATCCCCTACCGTCAGCCCATCTATCTCCCCCACCTCCTCGTGGCTGAACAGCGGCGCCGCTTTCTCCCCGCCGCCGCAGTCCACGCGCTGCCTCTTCTCCGTCCCATTAATCCCTTCCATCTTCCCGCCGCCTGCGCTCAATCCCTGTCTCTCCCGAACGCTCTGTTTAGGGTGTGGGAAGAGTGATTTCGCATCGCAATCGAAACGTTCATGCGAAAAACGAAGGAAATCATGGAATAGGCCTGCGAGAAAGTTATGTACAACTGGACTTCATTGATATCTGTGTATATCTGCGTCTGGACATATGTAATAGTACAACTTGACTTCCTTGAATTACGACGCTAATCGGCGACACTTTGTATGGTTAATTGAAGACATTTATTAATCAAATTCACAATTATTTAGTATTTACTAACAAAAAAAAATTTAAAAATGGCAAACTACATGATTAAAATTCATACAAGAAACTCATACAAAGTATACAAAGTACTTATACAAATTCTCCGTATATGATTAAAATTCCCATAAATGAAGAAATATTCAAAGTTGGATTAAGTTTATTCTTATTTAAAAATAACTACCCCTCCTTCCATTGGATTTTTGTCAACTTTTTCTTTTTTCGGGTTGTTTCAAAAACTTTGCCACTTTCTCACTACATAATTAGTACTGCCTCCGGTTTTTTTTAATCTTCACAGTTTGACTTCACACAAAATAAGGAAAGAAATTTGACTTTACTGTAGAGTATACTGTTAAGGCACTGTTTGACACTCTTTGACACTGTAGAGACACTGTTTGGCACTGTTGAGACACTGTTTGACACTGTTTGGCACTGTTTTGATGTATATTTCTTTGCCAGAAAAGGAAATAAGGAAGTGTGAAGTTTATTTTAGATCGTCCCAAAAAGGAAAGTGTGAAGTTTATTAAAAACCGGATGGAGTATATGGTTCTGCTCATTTCCCTCTCTTCGTCACAAATTTCAATCACACAATTTTTACTATTGTTATTTCTCACCTAATTCAAAGAGTGCAAAGTCCATTGGAACAAAGGTAATATTTTATACTCTCTCCGTCCCGCAAAATAGTTCCCGGTTTGACTTGGATCAGAGTTTAAGAAAGTGGAGATAAAGTGAAAATGTATGGTTATGATTGATTAAGAAAAAAGTAAATAAATGATAGACACACAAAACTTTCCAAAAAAGGAAATGAGAACAATTTTTGGGGAGATCCAAGAAGGAAAGTGGGAACAATTTTGTGAGACGGAGGAAACATGTGATTAAAAATATAATTAACAATGTAATAAACTTAAGAAAAACATAATGTGGCTGTCAAATTTTGTGTCTTTTTTTTATGGCAAAAATTAGAACAAAACTGAAAAAATTAAGTGAAAATTTCTGACACCTACTTTTGGCGGTGGCCATTAACAGATGTTGCTGGGGAAGGTAGTGGGGCATGGGTGGATAGTTGGTTAGGAATCAAATTTTAAAAATATTAATTAAACAAAAGATTAGTCACGTTTTAAAAAAAATGAAAAGTAGTCATATTTTTATCTATTAAAAGTGTAAGAGTAATATTTTTTCCATTTTGCATAGAAATATTAAAAAATATGCTCATCAATACTTGTATTAGGATGTTTTCTTTTGGACTGCAATTTGCTGGTTTGGTCTAGTCTGATCTGGTCTGGTTTGGTTTGGGTCTATTTAAGTTTGTTTGGTCCGGTCGGGTCTGGTAAACGTCTGGTCTGTGTATTTTATAATTGTCCAAGTCTGGTCTGGTTTGGTCTGTTTAAATCTGGTCTGGTCTAGTCTAATCTGTTTTAGTCTTGTCTGATCTGGTATGGGACTGAAAATTGTCCAAAAGAAAAACACCCTTAGTATTCGAAGTATTTTTTTCCAAAATTAAAAGTAAGTAATGCATTTTTGAGAATGTAAAAGTATTATCATGCTAAGATTATGTTGTGATCATTCTAATGTCTAATGATATCAAATCATTATTATACATAATTGCACTACTTATGGGTAGTATCATTTTCCGGCTCAAGCAATCTAGCCATTTCTACCGTAAGATCACCTAAATCGCACGCTCCCCATTTCAACCGTACGATCACTTAAATCGCTCGCTCTTCAGGTTCTCAACTCCCCATCACAGAAACATATCGCCAACCGCCTTCCGATTGCATCTTCTGTCATTTCCTCACTACAAAAAACAACGATTTCGGCACGGATTTGGCACGGAGCTTTGGCACAGATATGCCAAAATTCGTAGGGTATTTGGCACGGATTTGGCACGGATGCGTTAAATCCGTGCCAAATTCCGTGCCAAAGTCGTTTTGTCACCAGATATCTGACACGGCGCTGTGCCAAAAATAAGTTACAATCCGTGCCAAACTCGCCCAATCCGTGCCAAGTCCGTGCCTATTTCGATGTTTTTTTGTAGTGCCTACATCACTTCACTTCTCACGATTGTATTTTCCCCTATGAAGCACGGATACTTCCCTAGGGTAGCGTATCGGCGTATCCGATACGTTCCCGTATCCGATACTCTAGGATACCTGTACCGTACGTTCCCGGGCCGTATCTGCAATTTTTAAAAGTTTCCACTTTTTTTTGTAATTTTTTGAAAGTTTTCGATACTCGTATCCTGACGGATACCCGTATCAACTTTTTTTTTTTAAATCCCAAAATTTATTTAATAAAATTCTAAAAAAAAATGAAAATCTAAAACTACATTTTACTTGGTAATCAAATAATGGGCCTATATGGCTATATCCGAATTAAGTCATTAACTCATACTCCGAATTGGGTACTTGCACTTTTAATTTCAAGATTGTAGTTGTTTGACTTATTTCTCATTTTAAATTAATGACTTATTAACTACATTTATATTTCGATATACACTAGTGTATATGAGAAATATTATGAATTTATTACTAAGTATCTTGAAAAAGGAAAATGTTTCAATGCAATGAATGGGTAGACATCATAGCATATTATATGTATGCATATATACATATTCAAAAAAAAATCTATTTTTAATATTTATAAATAGACCCCTATAACTTTTAATATTTGTAAATACACCCCCATAACTTTTAATATTTATAAATATGGCCCTGTATCCGTATCCTACTTTTTTTTGTTTTGACGTATCCCCGTACCCGTTTCCGCGTTTCCGCGTTTCCGCGTACCGGTATCGGTGCTACATAGATTTTCCCTAATTCACCCCAACTTAATGAATCACGGAACTACTCTCACGTACAAGCTTCATCCATTTCCGGTGAGAGCTGGGGGGATGGGAATTCTCCGAGTAATCTTTAAGAGCAGTCTCAAAATCTGATATAAATGAATGACACTCCAAATTAGAGGTGATGCCGTACAGTTTCTATTCAATATTCGGGCTTTAAAATATGTTTATTTTCATATCTAGAAAATATGACTTTTGAATGACCTTTGTTGTATGCAGTTTGATTCAGAATCGCTGTTGGTCTTAATTTTTTAGTTTTTGTTCTAAACTAATCACAAATTATTTTTGTCAAAGAAAACAGATGTTACTTATTACCGAAGTTTAAATGGGGGTCTACTTTACTAATAGCTATGAGGCCGCACATCATGTATGTGCGACAAACCTACAAGTTTCCTCTCAAGGTTCAGGGAAAGTCTAACTAAGACTCACTATGGAGGGGCAAAGAGACTCCTCATGTACCTACAAGGGACAATTAACTATGATATCTATATCTATATCTATATCTACATCTACATCTACATCTAGATCTATATCTATATCTATATCTATATCTGTATCTGTATCTGTATCTGTATCTGTATCTGTATCTGTATCTGTATCTGTATCTGTATCTGTATCTGTATCTGTATCTGTATCTGTATCTGTATCTGTATCTGTATCTGTATCTGTATCTGTATCTGTATCTGTATCTGTATCTGTATCTGTATCTGTATCTGTATCTGTATCTGTATCTGTATCTGTATCTGTATCTGTATATGTATCTGTATCTATATCTATATCTATATCTATATATTATACATTTAAGAGTCATATTGGTGGAAGCTTTTGTCACATGTCATTCCTTCAAACATTTGGCACATGCCATTCTTACAAACACTGATTCACTCTCATGCTCCATCAATTTTACTTCTACTCCACATAAAAGGTAATAATATAAATTATAAATTATTGTATATTATTAATTGGTAGTAAAAAACTTACCATGTGGATATAAATTGGCTTCTATAAATGTTCTAGAAAGCACAACCATTCAACCCATGATCCATGCCACTTAAGGCTCCATATAACAGGTAATTAAATAAAGTAACATAAAAAATACTTAATATAAACCATTATATGTAATAAAAATCTTAATATGTACATATATATTAGTTTCTACTCCCTCTGTCGCGTTGAAATGTTTTCACTTTTATTATTTGGATGTCTCATTTAAAGATTCTCATTTCATTTCAGAAAATAATTTACTATCTTTAATTATACTTTTTTTCAACTTTCTCTTTTCTACTCATTACATGTCAAGTCTCACAATTTCTTCTTCCTCAACTTACCCCTTTTAATTAATTTCACTTTATATGTTTACTTTTTTTTTAATTTTCTCTTTCCTCTATTTGTAATCAAATTAAATTACTTAATTAATCACTTGCCTAAAAAATCATGTCATTTATCCACGGAAACCTTTCAACAAGACGGAGAGAGTGTAATTTAAGATTTACAATCATGTCCATCTCTATTATCATCTACTCCATATAATCTTTACAATCATGTGCATCTTTACAATCATAATACACCGTAATTAAAACTCTATTCTCATTGTAGCACGAAAAAATTGAAAATAAAATCTCAAATATTGTTAGTCCACTCACAACAATCCCTCCATATTTTAAAAATTACAATCATGTCCATCTCTATTACCATCTACGATTAATTCCTTTTAGTGACTATAAAACTTTTGCATAATAATTTATAGTCACATTTTTGTCCCTATATTTTTTATGAGTAGTATTTTAGAAAAAAGCTTTAAATTAAATAAAAAACATCCACATATTATTGGAATTTTTTTTTTTGAATTTAAACTTGCTAAGAGACCAAATATATTGAAACTTATTTTATGATTTTAAAATGTAATAGAGTCCTAAAAACTATGGGACTAAAAAAAATACTGAAAAGGATAACATCAAGAGTTGGAGAGATTATTTTGCATTGCAAGCTATTATTAACTATAAAACTGATTGTAGAGTTGTAATATTTCTTCTACTTTCAAATTCATGTATTAAATATAAAATTATTTATATTATGATAATCACTGCATTATTAAATATAT